TACTATGAAGAGACTATGAAGAGACCCCAGAGGTTAGAGTCGCCACCTACTCATTACTATGAAGAGACTATGAAGAGACCCCAGAGGTTAGAGGCACCACCTACTCATTACTATGAAGAGAATATGGAGAGACCCCAGAGGATAGAGGCACCACCTACTCATTACTATGAAGAGACTATGAAGAGACCCCAGAGGATAGAGGCACCACCTACTCATTACTATGAGACTGATTATTTCCTTCACCTTTGAGTACAAGTTGTTTTTTCAAGAGGAGTGGTCTGTCCGGATTGAAACATCTCCCATCCTGCTTGTGCGATCATAGCGCCATTATCGATACAAAACCTTAAAAAGAACAAATCCAAGATGATTAGGACTTTACTGTAAGGACACTATGACCAGAACGGTTCTAATAAGATAGCCAATCATAAAGCAGAATGAAGGCAAATCATTTCAGCTTGAGCCAATTACCATCAAGCAATGAAGCCTAGTGGTTGTATAACTGTCAGACACCTTATTATCATATGACCCGTACGGCCCTGCTCGTGCGCTCTAATAAAACCACTGGAAAAAGTCACGTGATGGCGGCCGGACGGCATTGAGCGAGCAGCCTGCTCGAATCCGCGCGCTTTCTCTTCTTAAGCTTTTATTTACTATTTCTTTCTTTCTTTTATTTTTTATTGATTTTTTCGTGAGGGTCATATGATAAAATGCTTATTGACTGAGTTAGGTCGGGCCGTACGGGAAAATATTTGGCTCTCGGTCATTTGTACGGACCTCGCTGCGCTTGGTCCGTACGGCATCACCTCGAGCCAAATATTTTCCCGTACGACCCTCCCACTCAGTCAATAAGTACATAGAATTGTTATCAACAATCGTGGGAATGGAACAATGCTGATTGACTGAGTTCAGTATGATACTGATTCTGCTCTCAATAATAATAATAATCTCAACAATAATCTTTATTTGTTAGAACAGGATGATTGTCTTGGCAGCTTTTGCTCATGTGGACCTGCATGCTTTCAGTCACACTCAGACGCACTACCACTACATTTACTATTTTATTCAAACAACGCTCGACTTGCATGTTGATTTTTACGGAGGGAGAAAACCGGAGAACCCGGAGAAAACCCTCGTAGCATAGGAGAGAACAACACATCAAACAAACTCAATTCACATGTGGCAACTGCAGGGCTCGAACCAGCGACACAATGCGATGGACTCACCTCATATCAGTAGCGTACAATTTTGCTCCCCTTTCCTCTGCCATTATACCTTTATTTAAAAAAAAAAAAAAAGAWGATGATAATGAGGAAAAACGAAGAAATAATAAACACAAACTTTTAATGGAAGAAATGTTTCCCCCCAAGCAACATTTTTATTGACACAAACATGTGACTTGCAGTGGCCATACTTACCCATCATCTCCTGTAATCTCTTGTTACCTAGCAACAAGCAAATTAACAAATTTATTTTCCTTGTGGACAAAACAATGGCACAGTGAATACCACATCCCACTCAGAGACCTGCTGAAATGATTGATTCTGGGTGTCTATATATATAGTGACTATTTCTATGCACAAATGCTTTGGTCAGCACACATGCAAACAGACAGAACATTTATTCCTGCAATAGAGGTTTTGCATCATCTCGTGCCTATGCCCATAATACAGATTGGCTTGCCTGTGGTTACATGGCAGAACAATAAAATCCCTTTATTATAATAATAATAATAACAATAATAATAATAATAATAATAATAATAATAATAAACTTTGTTTATAGAGGATAACACTTGACAGTTATTCAACTGATAAACTTGTGGTCCTCTGTTAACGTCTCTAGTTAATTAGAGACGGGACCGCCATTAACATGATCATCCAAGCCACGTGAAGGTCTAACCATTTGCAGATGTAATTACAAAGGTAGCACCTTCTCCTCAGTTATTTTAAGACCCCGAGTGTTGGTCCGGCCGAGGCTTGAACCACGACCTCCTGCACAACAGACCAACGCTCTTACCAACTGAGCTAGCCGGGTGGCGGTAGCCTTTGCTCTCGGGAATTGAATTCTTTCTAATGTAAAACAATTGTATTGTTCCTGTGGTTAGATGGCAGAACAATGAAATCCCTTTGGTCTTGGAAAAAGAGGTTTTGCACCATCACATGATGGCAGACATGTTAGATGGCAGGAACAATACAATAGTTCAATTCAATTCCTAGATAGACAATTTAAGATATAAAACTCAAGTCCTTGGGTAGGATTTTAAAACTGGGGTTCCTGTGGCAAGGCTTTAAATCATACTTACATCCAACACCTCCTACTATCAACACTTCATTGGACCCACAGTGTGCCATTGCCCTTTCTGGAATCAAAACAGTTATTATTGCCATTGAAATACGTTATTGAGTGTGCCCACTTCTTATGCTAAAGGTATCTCAGAGCTAGCCTTATCAAAGGCATTGGGGTTTGCTTTGGGGTTTTCTCTTTTACTCCGACGAAGGAGTAGCGTCTGAAACATCTGTATCCCTTTTATCATTACTGGTTTTCTCAATAGTTTCTTTGGTGGGCTACCTGTGGTTGGTAGAGGGAGACTGAAAGTCAGCTGAGCACTATTCCCTTTTTTATCGCACAGCAATCCCAAAAGCTGAAGAGATGTCTAATCTGTAATTTTGTTTCCAGAAGAATCTATAAAGCTCTAGGATGAGATTGAGAGACAAAAAGACTCTACGCAGACAGTGCTTTACCCTGGTTTCAATACACCTGTTGTTGTTACCTGTTGTTTCCACCAGCATTGCAAAGACTGTTTCCTGTGAGAAAAAATCTCCATCAGAATGTGTAGTTCCAAAAATTATCCATACCCCCCTCACGGAGGAATTTTTTAAGACACCCCACTACCCCCCGGAATTTCCAATTTTCTTCCATCCAAACTCTGTAATTTGTGTTCTTTCTCTGATCCCCCTACTCTTCAGAAATTCCAAATTCCTCTGTGGGGTGGGTATGGATGATTTCTGGAACTACAAAATTTGACAAGATTGCTAGCGATTTTTGACAATAATATTAGGGCATCTAAAAATGCAAACCAGGCTTTTAAAAAGATCAATCTATTTGAAATATCATTAGAGACAACTGAGGGGAAGGGGCTTAAGGAGTAGGGGTGTGGCTACAGACTACCCCATCCTTTTTAGGGTGCTCCGTAGGTTGTTTGTATGTTACCTGTAATGAGAAGCATAGGTCCTCTGGTGTACATTCACCGGATTCTATTAGACCTGGTGCCATACTCTACAAGGATATAAAGTTCAAAGTACACCTTAATTTAATGGCACACACAGTTGACATGTATATAAAAGTTTTCATGAGGTTGGAAATAATGACTTTTAGCTTGAATAATAATAATCATAAGCTTTTATTTACTAGAGCAGACTGATTCTTTTTGGCAGCTTTTGCTGATGTGGGCCTGCTTTCACTTACACTCACCGCTCACCACTACATTTACTATTCTATGCTCAAAATGCTCGACTCGCATGATGATGTTTACAGAGGGAGGAAATCCAAAGAACCCAGATGAAAACCCTCATAGTGGGAGAACAGTGGGAAAACAACGCATCAAACAAACTCTATTCACACATGCCGGCATGGGTCAAAACAGCAACCCAACCTATCGAACTTACAGCTGTGAAAATAAAGACAATGCATTAGCAGCGCATTCCACCATTTTTCATTTTTCCATTTTTTCCTTTTTGGTCATTCGTTGTGACACAACCACTCATTTTAAATAGGATTTAATAATTGAACAGTAAGTGCACATCATGCATTTAGAGGAGTGCTCTTAGTGTCCATTTTTACACCTGTTAATCTGACTTAGGATTTCTATTTACCTCAATGTATGATAGAATTCCCGAGAAAGATACATCCATTCCTTTTACTGTGTATGGGAGCTCAATCAGTTTTTTACCTCTAGAAAAATTAAAAAGGAAAATTAATCATTTTCCCAACTAATCCCATCCTAAGTGCATTAATTCCCATTTTCCCAAAGCATTTCCAAATCCCATTTTATTATTTCAGTACCCTCAAATTACCTTTTAGCCATTTGTTCAATATTGTATCCAGGACTTGGATCATTTGACAGCTACAATATACAAAACAGTTATAAATTACAAGAATTACTACCATTATCATTAAAGTGCAACCCTCAAAGTTTGATAGAGTCTCCTTCRCCAAGAACAACAACATTTTGAGTCACACAGTTAGAGTGTTAGAGGATTAAAATCTTGAATTCAGTCGAAAATTTCCCTCAAGATATTGKTTTTTTTATTTCAGTTCTTTGATTGACGGTTGTTGAAATACTAGTCAGAAGCTAAGATATAAAACTTCCCAGGTCCTACTTCAATAATAATGGTAGTAAAAAAGCAAAATATTTGGCATTTTTAACAGAGACTAAGTTGTTCCAGAAACTCGTCAAGCCACCTCTATGGACCGTTATCACACGGCGGCCATGTTTATTCTCATGAGAATAAAAACCTTTGTTTTGCCATTGTAACCTCATCCTGAAGCGCTTGCATGTGAGGCCAAAAGGGGGAAATCTATTGTTCCAGCCAACATGGCTGCCGTGTGATAAAGGTCCATAAAGGGAGATTAGAAATTCCAAAAGGGGGGTAGGATCTGAAGATAGTTAATTCTAGTTTTCTTTTTGGACTTCTTTTGGGTAGTCTTTAAGACTAGCTGAGTTGGCTGTGTTCTGATCATCTAGAAGTCTTTTAAAGATTTCATAAAATTTAGGTCAGTTTTTATCTTATATTCTGCCATACCTTAAGAACCCTGGCAAATCTGTCTAAGCAATTACCAACAGCAATATCTATTGTCTCTCCAAAGATTCTGTATCTTTTCTGCAGATAAGCAATAACTTGGGTATTGCCTCCGCTTACGTACAATACTGTAGGGTTATCTGCACCTGTTATAAGACGTCCCATCTCAATGTGTCCAATACAGTGATTGATGCCTATTATTGGTTTGCTCCATAGCTGAGCTACTGTTCTTGCAACTACGGCAACAGAAACAAGAGGGGCTCCCATTCCAGGACCTGTTTATAGAAAGATGAACAATAATGGAAGATGGAGGATTCAAAAGAAAACGAAAACAAAACCAGGACTGGTTCTAGATGGAAAGAGATGGGGGAAATTTAAAGAGTGCATAGCTTCCATTTCAGGGCCAACATCAAATTAAAATTTATAGAAAATGAAAGTGAAAAATKTAAAAAAAATTATATAACAGGTCCCATTCCAAATCCAAATCTCAAGAGAATAAAAATGGAAAATCCAGAATGAAAATATGAAAGATTAACAGGTTAGCTAGCAAGCTTGAGCAACTGTTTCAGAAGTGAGGGTATAAATATATTGAGCTACCATGATTGTTTGTGAAAGGGATAATACAGTATATCTTGTCTTCAGCTTGGGCGTATAATGTTTTCCCACTTCAGACCACTTGTCATTTCCTAGAATATGATTTCTTTGTTTAATGGTTGCACATGAAAAGACCAAAATATAAATACAACTCAAACAAATTAAGAGTATTATTCTCAACAGAATTACACATGGTCTGAAATAGCAGACATTATGTCAAGCTACACACCTGTATATGTAATAAATTAAATAATAATAATAATAATAAATTACATTTATAAAGCGCAGATTAGCACAAGATGTTCATCTGCACTGAATACAGAAACAATACACAATAACTAGAAACATAAAAGCTAAGTTAATCAATAGGAATTGCAAAAACAACTAAATAAAGGCTTTTCTATAAAAATATGTCTTTAAGTGTTCTTTAAAAGAAGGTAATGATGTAATATGCCTAATACTAGATGGTAAAGTGTTCCATTCTACTGGCGCAGCATATGAGCGTATGTAAAGAGGTTTATTGACATACCTTTTGTATAACAAACACAGTCAATATCTTTTGGCTCAATATTTGCTTCTTCTAATGACCTATGCATAAAGGATTAAACATAAAGTTGTACACACAATATTGATATTTATATAATTCTATAATTGAATCTCATTTTTTCTCTATGGATGTCTTCCTAACCACTACTCTGTTCCCCTCAAGCCTTTGAATTTTTTTGATGCCCTGAAACATCCTCTGGGCTTATCAAAGTCAGGCATGGCTTACCCACAGGTCAAATTAGAATCTAGCTTGTAAATATTATGTTTTGTTGAGGTAGGGAAGTCATAGAACTAAGAGAAAAACTCTCAAATTAGGGGAGAGACCACTCTACCCACATATGATGCCAACTCTGTATGGAAATAGAACTTGAGACCCCAGCTAGGTTAGAGGCAAGTGCATTACTACCATAGGCCATCTTTGTTCTTCCTCCTCCCTCCCCTCCCACATACCTGAAGCATATATCCATGAATAAAGTTAACTAACAAAATTGTACAAATTAGTGCAAACTTTGGTGGTTTTCTAGTTTTGTAGTTTTCTATGCTCTACTGAGGTCTACTGAACTTACTAATTTGTACAAATGTGTGCAATCTCTTACAAAGTTTTTCACAGATATTTGGAATGCACCTATACTGTATGTACCTGTCATGACTAATCACAAACAATTACTTACTTTCTTAGAATATCCAGGATATTTTCCCTGTGGTGTTTCGCAGTATCACTGGGCATAAATCCTTGGGGAAAAAATCGTTGAATATGATTCAACAATAATTAAAAATATGTGGTTCTGTTGTTACAATTGTTTATAAGACCAATTCTTAAAACTTTTAAAAAAATCTTATTTGAAATAGCAGATTTTGCACAGAAGAGTATAAAAAGAAAAGCAAAGCCCTTAGAAATTTATCAGAATTAGAAGCTTCAAATGGCCTTGAAACGCTATGTAAATCTCTGTACCTTGTCCTGGGGGAGTAATGTAGGTACATCTAGGGTTGGAAAGCACAACTCCATCTCTTACTATTCCAATACCAAGCTTATTTGCACTGCCTTCAAAACCGATAACTGTAGGCATGATAAAATAAGAGAATTTATGACAATTTTCGAGTATAAAAATGCCGTACGAATCGAACTTGAGAAAACTTCAACTCAATGGCTGACTATGAAAGGCGTTGCGCGTGGTTAACCGCATAGACCTGGGTACGAGAAATGATAAAAAGAAAAAAAGACGAAAAGAAAGAAAGAAAAAAAGACAGAAAAAATAAAAAAACTCACTGTCATAAAAAACACGAAATAAAACAAAAGCCAAAAAGAATGGATTCATTTACTTCCTTTTGGCTATTTTCGTTTAGGGGCTCCGATAAATTGTTCTAATCTCAGGGACGGTGGAGCAGTTTTTTGATTGGGGG